ACCAGTACATCTGGGGTACATGCCCTATCGAGATAATGTGACCTGAAATGTCTAGGATAAGAGTAAAAATCTTCAAAGAAAATAATATAGATGTTGCTAGGAAAAAACTTTTTTGCTTCTTGAAAAATTAAAAGCATTTATTTACTTTGACTGGATACTGGTTACAGAGGTACATATATTTATCAAAAATCATTCTGTATACTTTAGTTTATGTCAATGTATGTAAATTTCATGTTAATTTTAAAACTGAATTTTAACTGCATTTTAATTAAGCCCAGAACACCACACATAAATAGGCAAAGTAAGAGAATGAATGACATGAAAATGAAAATCTTTTATCTTGGAATGTGAAGATTATCAATAATTTCTTTCTGAATCTAAAATAGCATATTTTTAGTAAGCATTTTCAAAAGGCATGGTCTAAGAACATACTATACAATATCTGTATTAATTCATTCAAGATATATGTGAGTGCCTAGTTTGTGCAAGGAGCTGTGCTATGGTTAGAGACACAATGATGACACAGACACTGTCCCCATCCTCACAGAGTTCAGTCTAGTGGAGAAACCACACACTAAACAGTTACTAATAATAATTGTGACAAATGCTGCAAAGGTATAGTACTGGGTACAATGAAGGCAACTGCAGCCAGTGGGGAATACATGGGTCAGGGACAGCTTACAAGAAATTTAAGCTGAGACTTAAAGGGTGAGCAGGAGCAAGTTACATCAAGAAATGAAACATTGTAGAAACATTTCTAGACAGAAAATGTGTGAGGACTCCAAGTGAGAGGTAAGGATTTCAGCAGGGAAGTAACATGATCAGATTTGTGCTTTGAAATAATAACTCTGGGAGCAATATGGAAAACAGAACAGAGAAGAGTTCAGTGAATGTTATAAGACTACTTATACTGAATACTCCAAGAGAGAAATGAAGTGGTTAGGTCATGGGTAGTAATACGAGAGTACTTCAAAATGTTTGTAGAAAAACAGAATTAAAAGATTATATGAATCTTTCCATGAACTTTTTGAATACCCTCATAGATAAGAAGGCAGAGAAAAATAGCAGATTCTAGCAACAGATGATGCAGGGAGAGAGAAAGAAGGAACTGACAAGAAGGTTTCTGGTATGAACAATTGTAATGATAGTGATTATGAGCTCATTTGGACATGCTGAGTTTGACATATGTCTTGGATAATGAAGGGAGCCATCAACTAGACAAATGAATATATGAGTCTGAATCTCAGAGAATGAGGCTAAAGACATAATTCAGGAATCATCTGCACAGACGTACATGAAGCTATAGAAGTGAATGAGGTGAAGAGAGTGTACCATGAGAAAAAAGTCTAGGACTAAGGCCCAAGAATGCCTTTCATTAAAATAGAGGAGGGGCCGGCCCCGTGGCGCACTCGGGAGAGTGCAGCGCTTGGG